CACCCTGCCTCGGGGGGAGATGGCCAACGTGTTAAAAAAAAAAACATTATTATTATAATGGAGAAGCTCTAAACCCGTAGGATTATACAGCGCCTGTGGGGGGAGGGGATGGAAGGTATTCAGGCTTAATTTAGGGTACTGGAGCACAGATACAATTCCCTAGATCAAGAGCCCCTCACCAGCATCAAGGAACCTCCCTTGAGAGGGAAGCTCGCATCCTGAATTTTTGCTCGTATCCAGAAACAAAAAATCAACCAAGCGACTGCTCATATCCTGAAAAACTCATATGGTGGGGCACCCATAAGCCAAGGTTCCACTGTATTTTTAATTGTATTGTAACCCTCTTCTCCTGTATACATTACTAAATTTAAAAAGAGAAACTTTCATTTTTCTTTTTGGGCCACCTTGCCTTGGTGGGATATGGCTGGTTTGTTGAAAAAAAAATATCATGTATGTACTCATCTTATTGTTGCCACAATCATATTACCCTAGTGCTGATAATACCAGACAGTAAAGTGCAAGACAGAGAGATTGAGGGAGGAACGGAGAGAGGAAGAGGCAGTGAAGAAAGTTAAATCAAGAAATATGCTAGTATTTCTGCCTAAAAACACTACATGCATTAATCATAAAAAGCAATACAATTTAAATTTGAGGAGGTATGTTGTGGAGGGTGATGTTGTGTGGTGGGATTTCATAGATGGCAGTGATGTGTGACAGCAAGCTGTGGAATGGCAACGTGTGGAAGCAAGTTGTGAAGAATGATGGAAAGTGAAGTGTGGAGGCCTGTCATGTCTTTGATATACCTCTGAAAAGTCTCAAGAGTTTAACTACTCTCAGAGCCCGGCCATGGGCCAGGCTCGTCCGGTGCTTGCCTGATCAACCAGGCTGTTGCTGCTGGAGGGCCACTGCCCCATACATCCATCACAGCCTGGTTGATCTGGCACCTAGTGAAGATACTTGTCCAGTTTCCTTTTGGAGACTTCTACACTTGTTCCAGCTGTGTTTCTGACATCTTCTGGCAAGATGTTGAATAGTCTGGGACCCCGGATGTTGATACAGTGTTCCCTTATTGTCCCCACTGCACCCCTGCTCCTCAATGGGTTTATTTTACACTTCCTCCCATATCTCTCACTCCAGTATGTTGTTATGGCAGTGTGCTGATTTGGGACCAGGCCCTTGAGTACTTTCCAGGTGTATATTATCATGTATCTGTCTCTCCTCTGCTCCTATGAGTACATGTTCAAGACTTGAAGGTGTTCCCAGTAATTTAGGTGCTTTACTGGCTCAATGTGAGCTGTAAACGATCTCTGTATTTGTTCCAGCTCTGATATTTTTCCTGCTTTGAATGGGGCCATCAGCACTGAGCAATATTCTAAATGAGGGAGTACTAGCAACTTGAAGAGCGTTACCATCGGCATTATTTCCCTTGTTTTTGAAAATTCTCAATACCCACCCCGTTATCTTCCTGGCTGTCGTGATCTTTGTCTTGTCATGTTCCCTAAAAGAAAGGTCAGCTGACATAATTATTCCCAGGTCTCTTACATGTTCCTTTCATTCTATTTGGTGACCCTCTTGAGTTTTGTATATAGTGTTCCTTTTGAGTTCTTCATTCTTTCCACACCTAAGCAGCTGGAACTTATCCCCACTGAATGTCATGTTGCTCTCCACTGCCCACTGGAAAACCCTGCTTATGTCTTCCTGTAATTTTTCAGTGTCCTCTACCACTGACTTTCGTGCTTATTTTAGTGTCATCTGCAAAGGATAATACAAAAGTGTGACGGGTGTTTTGATCTATGTCTGTTATAAGGATGAAAAACAGGAGAGGTGCCAAGACAGTACCTTGGACACTGAGCTTTTGACCTTGCTAATGCTGTATCTTGCTCTGTTTACTACTACTTGTTGTGTTGTGTGTGTTAGGAACCCAAAAATCCATCTGCCTACCTTCCCCATAATCCCCGTGGCCCTCATTTTGTGCACTATCATTCCGTGATCACATTTGTCAAACACCTTTGGAAAATCTGTGTAAATCACATCTGCGATTTGGTCTTCTTCCAATGCCTCCGTAATTCTGTCATAATGGTTCAGCAGCTGTGACAGGCATGAGCGTCCTGCTCTAAAACCATGCTGTTGTGCTGGCCCATGAAATTTGCAATCTGCCATCTCATCACTCTTTCGAAGATTTTTATGATTTGAGAAGTTAGAGCTACTGGTTTGTAATTTTTAGCTAGTGCTCTACTATTTTCCTTATGCAAAGGAGCTATGTTTGCACTCTTTAAAGCCTCCAGTATTTCACCTAGATCTACGCTCTTTCTTCAAAGAATACTGAGGGCTCATGCTAGTGGTACTTTGCACTTCTTTAGAAATAGAGCATTCCATGAGTCTGGTCCAGGTGCTGAGTGAGTGGGCATGTTGTCCATTTCTTTTTTTGAAATCTATGGGATTTGTACTAATGTCCATTAGTTGGTCTGTGCAGCCTTCTGCTAGAGTGAAAAATATTTCTGCATTTTCTACCTTGCTGTCATTTAGTGGGTTGCTGAACACCGACTAACACTGTACTCAGTGTGGCTTTGTTTCTCCTTGAGTGAATATAGACATTTTCATTAATCCATCTATGATATTTTCTTCAAAATTATATAAGAAACACATTACATAGTATACATAAAAACATGCAATGTTTATATGCAATGCATGTTTAATAATAATCACTCTTGGGCACATTAAATGTCTTATTTTAGGTTAAATGTCTTATTTTAGGTTAAAATAGACATTTTCATTAATCCATCTATGATATTGTCTTCAAAATTATATAAAACGCATTACATAGCATATAAACATGCCCTTGTTATTCGTTCACTAAGAGTGTCCCTCTAGTCTTAATGCCATAGTTATAATACTAATATATAATAATCACTCTTGGGCACATTAAATGTCTTATTTTAGGTTAATATAGACATTTTCAGTAATCCATCTATGACATTTTCTTCAAAATTATGTAAGAAATACATTACATAGCATATAGCATATAAACATGCAATGTTATCGAGTGGTGAGTACCGGCGAATCAAGGAGGGTGGAGGAAGGAAGGTAAACATTACATTTTTCTCTGATGCAGCATTAGAGAAAACAGAATTTGGCATCTGGTGCAGTAACCGCCCTTCATACACTTTTGTTTACAATTCTCGGCATGAATTATTCATTACTTCTCCCTTTGTTTATGATGGCATCTAAAGGTAGTTAGAAACGATTAAACTCAGTGAACATGGCATGTCAATGTAATAATATGGCTGTGTAGTGTAATAATGTGGCTGTGTAGTGTAGCCCAGAGAGCTACATACGTGTACCTACATCAACAGGCTACCTACACTGAATTCCTACAAATAAATACTACTCACCTCTTGCCCTACATTAAGACTGCAAATATTTTAAGGTAAGTAATGAATGTACTGTAGCAGTAAAAGACAAAGAAGGGAAATAACACTAGAGGGGGCTTTGATACCTGAAGTCCTTATGGAGGTGGATTCCCAACTCCCTGGAACAGATTAATTGTATTTACATTAATTCTTATGGGAAATGTTGCTTCGACTTTAGAACGTTTCGACTTTAGTCCTAGCTCCTGGAACAGATTAAGAACGATACTCAGGGTTCCACTGTATAGGATTTGCTACTACCCATGGTTTTGATATATAGGGCAGATTCTTGGAACATATCCTCCACAGATACGCGGGTCCTATTGTACATACTTTTTCTTCTACTGTCATATATGTGCATGTCTGGCAAGACAGTGACAGTGTAAATGAGAGTGAAAGTGCTTTTCACCCTGCCTCGGTGAGAGACGGCCAGTGTTCAACCCTTTGACTGTTTCGGTTGTATATATACGTCTTACGAGGCACCATGTTTGACGTATATATACTCAAATTCTAGCTGCTTCAAATCAAGCAGGAGAAAGCTGGTAGGCCCACATGTGACAGAATGGGTCTGTGTTGTCGGTGTGCACCATATAAAAAAAAGTCCTGCAGCACGCAATGCACGAGAAAAAAAACTCCGACTTTTTTTTAATTAAAACGCCAACTTTGTGGTCTATTTTTGTATAGTATTTATGGTTATATTCTTGTTTTCTTGGTCTCATTTGATAGAATGGAAAACATATTATAGAAATAGAGGTGATTTTGATTGGTTTTGCTATGAAAAGAACCTTGAAATGGAGCTCAAAGTAGGGGAAATGTTAGAGTTTTGCCAATGTTCAAAAGTAAACAAATGATGTCATTGTCCAATAAATGTCCAACTAGCCATTTTAATATGCAGTCATGAATGGGTTGCCATTATTTATACAATTATTACAATATTGCAGTAGTCTGCATAACAGTAAATCTTCTATTTTTTGTTTGAATAAAAATTCAAAACAGAAAGCAAGAGTAATATCAGAGGAGCCTGGAGACGTGACTGATGAACAAAGAAAATGTTATTTTAGAGCCAGGAATGTCTGCATTGTTCATTCTGGACCCTATTTTGAAATTGGCATATTTTTTAATTTGCATGAAATTGGCCAAATAGCCAATTTCTGACCACTTTACTGGGTAGTTAAAATCGGTAAATGGGTGGTTTCTTGTACTCAATCGATAGAACAAATGGAGTTCTAAGGAAATAGTTATGAGTTTGGTCGACTGGAGCAATGGAATTGGCCGAAATTAGGGCTGAAAGTGGAGGGAAATCGCCGATTTGTTAATATCGCTGAGGTCACTAACTTCGCAAGAGCGTAATTCCGTAAGTTTTCCATCAAATTTCGTACTTTTGGTGTCATTACCATCGGGAAAAGATTCTCTATCATTTCATAAGAAAATATATATATTTTTTTTTAAATTTTTGCGACACCAGGAGACACCAAGATTTGGGGTTGCGACAGTCAAGGCGTTAAAAAAAAAATGGTGTTATAATTTAAATTGCAGGTGAAATCAATGAGACAAAGCAATATAAAGATCTTAAAAAGTCCTCCCTGAACATACTGCTTGTATATCCTGATTCTGGCTGGAACTGCAGATATAAATCCAACCAGTCTATTGCTCTTCGAGACACGAACACCAACATGCCACTGAGGTTTCCATCCTGGTGGCATAAGAGCCCATCGCAGGAACTCTCTGCTGTAGTCAAATCTGCCAAGGTACGTGAAAGTCAAGTGCTAATAAAAGATAACTAAATACAGTAGTTACATGGAAAAATGTTTACAATGCAAAATTACTGTAATACAGTACAATATATCAACTTTTCTACTTTATAGTTTCTGAATCTTACTGACAGTTCTACCTAAATTTTTATACTTCTGGCCTTGCACATTTCAAAATACTGTACAAAACATTTATTGCATTTTCATTACATCACCCGGTTTAGGATCAGTCGAAGGGTGAAGTGACCCCTGAAATCAACAACATCTCAAACATCTCAAACCTAATAAAGAATATTAAGAACTTATGACTATCACTATTTCAAACAATTATTGTATATTTACCTAAACATATTGTCATCATCTTCCACATAATTTTCATTTAGTAGACTGTAGAGGTTTTGTAACTGCAAAAAAAACAAAAACAAAAAAAAAATAATATGTATATATTATCTTGCAAATACAAACAACTTTTATTAATTTTTACAAATTTCACTGTCAGCCAGATACCTGTCACAAGGAAACAGAATGCTGTATCAATAACAAGTTTACTGTAATTATGTACAAGACATGAAATACATAATGAAAATTTTTGGTATTTTAACAGAACAATTTAAAAAAAAAAAGTACAGTAAAACAGACTTTGGTAATTTCAGAAAAAAAAAAACCTGGCTGGACAAACATTTCAACCATTGGACAAAATGGATGAAGTCATTAATTCCAGATTTTGTCTGTAGTTATAGAATCTGCATGACTTCTGAAGTATCAGACCAAGTCTAAGACTCTAATATTCGTCCACTGCGGGCCAGAGTGGCCACATCCAGAATCTGTCTGTTTTCACTGTCCACCAGCTCAAGTTTATTGTTTGTATTCACTCGTTATTCAGTCTCTAATTTTCCCTAAACTTTGAGCATTTTCCCTGCCTTTATTAACACACTAACCCCTTGAGGGTCCAGACCCTCAATCTGAGAAGTGTCTGGAGAGTCCAAGAATTTTCCCAAAATTTTTTTGTAGTTTTTTCTTATGAAATGGTAGAGAATCTTAATCTGAAGGTAATAAAACAAATAGTGCAAAATTTGATGGAAAATTGACAAAATTATGCTATCACAGATTTTGTTGTGTTAGCAATATTTACGCACTGGCGATTTTGCCCATTTTGACGCCTATTTTAAGCCAATTGCACTGTTCCAGTCGACCAAATTCTTAGCTATTTTCCTAGTATGCCTTCTATTTTATCGACTGAGCACAGAAACCACCAGATCAACTATTTCAACTATCCAATAGTGATCAGAAATTGGTAATTTGGGCAATTTCACACAAATTTTAAAATAATCCAATTTCAAATTAGAGTCCAGAATAAACAATGCAGGCATTCTTGGCACTAAAACAACATTTACTCTGTTTATTAGTTACGTTTCTAGGCTTTACGCATGAATTCCATTCTGATTTTTTATTCACAATGAATTTTTATTCACACCAAAAAAAAAAAATACTGTTATGCAATATTGCAATAATTGCATAAAATCATCTTTGTTTCTGTAATATATCTTCCATCCTATCAAATGTAACCAAGAAACCATAAATGCACCCATAAAAACCATACAAAAATACAACACAAATTTGCTGTTTTAAACCAAAAAAACGGTCACAGTTTTTTTTCATTACGCACTGCATGCTGCAGGATTTTTTTTATATGGTGTACACTTACTACATAGACCCATTCTCTCATATCTAGGCCAAAATTTACCACTAACAGCTTATCTGAGCGAGGTGAGCTCATCACAAAGGACTACTGCACAGATCCCGGCTTTAAACATGTGGAACAATGACATGGACCCTCAAGGGGTTAAATAATATACAATTAACAATGGCTACTAAAGCAAGTGGTGGTGCCAAGGTAAAACATGTGGTTCTCAGTGTGAAGCAGAAAATTAAACTAATAAAGTAGACTTGAGTCTGATGTCTCAGTAACATGAGTATGTGAGGAATATCGTGTAAAGAAAGTGTCTGATATCCGCAGCACCAAGGACAAACTTACAGAATATGCTTTTAAGTGTGGTGTAGATAATAGTGGACAGCTCCACTATCAATCACAGCAGTTTACATTTCATCTCTTCATCATGAAAAGGTAACTAAAATTACTGTAAATTATATACAGTACTATAAAATTACTATACAGTACAGCACTATACTGTAGTACTAAAGGTTACAATACTCGTATTAATAGTGTCTGCTTGCTATCTCCATCAGTGGACCATGTCTGCTAGTTCAAAGGACAGCCAGGCAATCGTGAAGAATTAATTTCATTATTCAGAAGTTTCGGACAATCAACAACACCATACATCCCTTCCCTGTATTATTCTGTTAATGATGGGATTCACTATACTATGGAGCTACAAGTTTTTCATATTTGGATTTGGTGACAAGACTAATTTGAAAGCTATCCAAAATGACTGAAATAAAATGACTGCTACAAATGAAGTGAATCAACTGCCTAACAGGTGTAAGTAATGGGGTAAGAGAGATAAGAGAAAAGATTTTGTTCAGATTTTAAACCCTGGAAGGTTAGCCACCTAGGATAGCCCAAGAAAGTCAGTGCATCACATAGCAAATCGCTTCTAAATTTATTAATAACCCTATGATGTGTAATAATGTTAATTTAACAAGGAAATGCAAGTGCTCAAATGGTTACGTCAGTATTAACAAAGATCTGTACTACTGTATCAATTTTGTACATATCAATAAAGTACTACATTTTTCAATATATAGAGATCAAAATACCAGATGATACTGTGCTTATGGGAGATTCTAAAGAAAAATTGCAAAGGTTAGTGGATGAGTTTGAGAATGTGTGTAAAGGTAGAAAGTTGAAAGTGAACATAGAAAAGAGTAAGGTGATGAGAGTATCAAATGATTTAGATAAAGAAAAACTGGATATTAAATTGGGGAGGAGGAGTATGGAAGAAGTGAATGTTTTCAGATACAGTGGACCCCCGGCTTACGATATTATTTCATTCCAGAAGTATGTTCAGGTGCCATTACTGAACGAATTTGTTCCCATAAGGAATATTGTGAATTAGATTAGTCCATTTCAGACCCCCAAACATACACGTACAAACGCACTTACATAAATACACTTACATAATTGGTCGCATTGGAAGCTGATTGTAAAACGGGGGTCCACTGTACTTGGGAGTTGACGTGTCGGTGGATGGATTTATGAAGGATGAGGTTAATCATAGAATTGATGAGGGAAAAAAGGTGAGTGGTGCATTGAGGTATATGTGGAGACAAAAAATGTTATCTATGGAGGCAAAGAAGGTAATGTATGAAAGTATAGTAGTGCCAACACTCTTATATGGGTGTGAAGCTTGGGTTGTGAATGCAGCAGGTAGGTGGTGGTTGGAGGCAGTGGAGATGTCCTGTCTAAGGGCAATGTGAGGTGTAAATATTATACAGAAAATTCGGAGTGTGGAAATTAGGAAAAGGTGTGGAGTTAATAAAAGTATTAGTCAGAGGGCTGAAGAGGGGTTGTTGAGGTGGTTTGGTCATTTAGAGAGAATGGATCAAAGTAGAATGACATGGAGAATGTATAAATCTGTACGAGAAGGAAGGCGGGGTAGGGGTCGTCCTCGAAAAGGTTGGAAAGAAGGGGTAAGGGAGGTTTTGTGGGTGAGGGGCTTGGACTTCCAGCAGGCGTGCATGAGCGTGTTCGATAGGAGTGAATGGAGACGAATGGTATTTGGGACCTGATGATCTGTTGGAGTGTGAGCAGGGTAATATTTAGTGAAGGGATTCAGGGAAACCGATTATTTTTGTATAGCCGGACTTGAGTCCTGGAAATGGGAAGTACAATGCCTGCACTCTAAAGGAGGGGTTTCGGGATATTAGCAGTTTGGAGGGATATGTTGTGTATCTTTATACGTATATGCTGCTAAACTGTTGTGCTCTGAGCACCTCTGCAAAAACAGTGATTATGTGTGAGTGAGGTGAAAGTGTTGAATGACGATTAAAGTATTTTCTTTTTGGGGATTTTCTTTCTTTTTGGGTCACCCTGCCTCAGTGGGAGACGGCCGACTTGTTGAGAGAGAAAAAAAAAATGCAAATTTCCTAGTTCCTAGGCCTTTTGTGTATTCATATGCTCTAGCACTACCGTCCACAGGATGGATACGTGGTGCACAATAAACTAGCCATTTAAGCGATATAGTCTAATCTACCTTTTAAGCCATGTGTACTGTATGCCTTCACATTCCACACCGGATACATTACAGCAGCCTGTCGCAAAATGAACATATAAATGGGGGATACAAATAATATGTTAAAATAAGGTAAGCTTTATAAAGAAAATTTGCAAATAGTTTACAAAAGTAACAATGTATGTGTACAGTGATTCTGTGGGTAAAGACATTTTAGGCATATAACAATGGTGGGAGGTAGTGTGTCTGCACTCTGAAGGAGGGGCGGGGATATCTGCAGTTTTGGACTGTAGTATCGGTACCCCTCTGGCAAGATAGTGATGGAGTGAGTGATGGTGAAAACATTTCTTCTTTTTTAAGTCACCCCTATATCAGTGGGAGTAAGTCGGTGTGTTAAAGAAAAAAAAAATTAGCCTGAGGTAACCCAACAAATGAGGAATCTGTCCAGGTAGACAATGACAATAACCATTAAGTGGGAATAAAGACACTGGTAGCAGAGAATCCTTTTTAATACTGTACATTTTGCACAAGGCTAAACTTTATCAAGTATGCTGTATTAAAAAAGGATTCTCTGCTCAGGTGTGTGAGAGGAGCAATGTTATGTTACACACTATACCTCCCACCACTCCTCCCTTCCTTTACCAGACATGGTTCCATCATTTAATGAAGGAACAGAAGTTGTATCTCATTCTACAAGTGCATAATACAAAAGATATGAAAATTTTTCAAAATATCACATCTTTCATTTGTTATTGTTGGGCTGAAGGGTTGTGATGGCCCTTAGACCACTGATTTGCTTTGACTACAGCAAGAATATGAATACTGTAATACAGATCAAATATAGTGACTACAGTAGCAAAAATGCAACATGATGCATGACAATTGACACAGCAAGACAACCTGACATAATACACATGTATTGTTATTGTTATATTCATGAGAAGGACTAAATTCATAGGGAGTCATAAAGCACCTGATGAAACAGGAGGAAATTAGGTTTCAATCAAGGTCAAATCTATTTTAGTCATGTCACATCTCCCTTGTCATTCTTTCTTCCTATGGAAATCATGTCTTGCTACTAATGGCTGTAATAATAACATGAAACATATTCTTCTTTCTTTCAACAAACTGGCCGTATCCCACCAAGGCAGGGTGGCCCAAAAAGAAAAACAAAAGTTTCTCTTTTTAAATTTAGTAATTTATACAAGAGAAGGGGTTACTAGCCCCTTGCTCCCGGCATTTTAGTCGCCTCTTACAACATGCATGGCTTACGGAGGAAGAATTCTGTTTCACTTCCCCATGGAGATAAGAGGAAATAAATAAGAACAAGAACTAGGAAGAAAATAGAAGAAAACCCAGAGGAGTGTGTGTATATATACACCTGTACAGTGTAAGTAGAAGTAGCAAGACATACCTGTAATGCATATTTATGAGACAAACGAAAGACACCAGCAATCCTACCATCATGTAATGAAACATATTACAGTGGACCCTCGAATTTAGTAGTGCCGTTTCTGTACGCAAAACTATTTTTATCTATAAAATGTATTGTTTGTTAATATTTTTGGGTGTCTGGAATGGTTTAATTGGATTTACATTATTTCCTATGGGAAATATTAACAAAACATACATTTTATAGATACTAAAAATAGTTTTGCATACAGAAAAGGCACTACTAAATTCTAGGGTCCACTGTATTTAGGTCAATAACAGTAAATCTGAGAGCTAAAAAAAAAAAAAAATAATTAGAGAAACAAATAAACTTAAATGACTAACCTAACAGTGTGCCTGGGAGACTAGTTCCCACCAGAGAACATGCCTCCCATCCAGGTAATACAGTGGTCCCTCGCTTTTCGTAGTTCTCGGCAATCGTAAATTTCGCCAATCATAGGGGTATTTTCGTATAAACATGGACTCGCTTTTCATAGGTTGACTCGCGAATAGTAGTTCGTCCAGGACGCTTACGCACGGTGTGAGCAGGGGAGGCCTCCCTACCCAGCCAGTCTGGCATTGTTTACCAGTGAGTGAAGGTCCCCTCAAGTGCTCCTACGAAATATTTCATAATATTCCACTCATTTTAGTGCTTGCAAGTACTAAATAAGCTACCATGGCTCCAAAGAAAGCTCCTAGTGCCAAGCCTGTGGTAAAGAAGGTGAGAAATATGTACAGTGACAAAGTCTTGTACCATTTTAGGGAAGTGTTAAAGAGACGCCAGAAACAGAGCTCTCTCCACAGTTACTTTGCGAGACAAGACTAGAGTGACTCTCAAGGTGGTCCTAGTGTCATTAAGAAACAGAGAAGAGAAGCAACCCCAGAGAAGCAATTGGTACCTGAGGTGTTGCTGGAAGGGGATTCCCCTTCCAAACTGTAAACAATCCAATCTCTCTCCTCCTCCAGTCTCCCATACACTAAGAAGAATCTCCAATAAAGGTAAGTGTTATGCTGTTAATGTTTCATTCATCATTTCCCATTGTATTGTTTATGTACTACATGTATATTTCATGTAAAAAAAATTTTTGTTTTAATACTTCCGAGTGTCAGAAACGGATTAATTGTATTTACACTATTTCTTATGGGGAAAATTGATTCGCAAATCATAAATTTCGTTTATAGTAGCTCCTCCAGGAACGGATTAATTACGAAAAACGAGGGACCACTGTATTGGGAATTTTTTTTTTTTTAATATGTCGGCCATCTCCCAGCGAGGAAGGGTGACCCAGAAAAACAAACACTTTCACCATCATTCAACATTTTCACTGTCACAGGTTGGTAGACAGCAACCACACAGGGAGGTACTACTGTCCTGCCAAGTGAGTGTAAAACAGAAACCTGTATTTGTTTTACAGGATGGTAGGAGAGCTGGTGTCTTTTTTTCTGTCTCATAAACACGTAAGATAACAGGTTTATCTTGCTACTTCTACTTACACTTAGGTCACACTACACATGCATGTTCACATTTATGTATGCACACTTGTCTGAGTTTTCTATGATTTTTTCTTAATAGTCCTTGTTCTCATTATTTTTCCTTTCATATCCAAGGGAAAGCAGAATAAGAAACTTTCCTCCATAAGCCATGCATGTTATAAAGGTCAACTAAATGCAAGGGAGCAATAGGCTAGTAACCCTTTTTCCCGTATAACATAGCTACTAAAATTTTTTTTTTTTTTCAACAAGTCTGCCATCTCCCACCTAGGCAGGGTGACCCAAAAAGAAAGAGAATCCCAAAAACGAAAATACTTTCATCATCATTCAACACTTTCACCTCACTCATACATAATCACTGTTTTTGCAGAGGCACCCAGATGTAACAGTTTAGAAGCATATATAAAGATACAATATAAAAAGTGGCCTGAAATATAATATAATATTAATAATAATAATAATAATATTAATTGGGAAGCACTGAACCTGTAGGGGGCATACAACCCTTAGATAATATGAGGCAATCAGATCTGATCCAAGGAATGGGAAGGCAGCGCTAATTCTTTGGATCAAAGTCACTTAATGACAGCAGGGCACCCTAGTTTCCCTTGAAAGTACGTATATCAACATCAAGATGATTTACCTTCTTTGCACTGACAGTTGGCATTATTCATTGCAATGGAATGCAACATGTCAACCTACCTTACTGAAGATTTGCAAGTAAATAATAACTAATATATGATGTGAACCATATGAATACAAGACAAAGGTTTAGTAGAAATAAGAATAACTGTACCAAAAGTTTATGTACAATCATGATCCAATGCACCAATTTTTTTTTTACTAAAATATAAAGTTTTTACATACAGCAGACACATTGTAAAGTGAGATACAAAATTATTTGCACCAAAAATCCCATTAATCTAGAGCTCTTGAGCATTGCTATATTCATGGGGAAGCACTAAACCCATTGGGGTTACACAGCACCAGGTATATGGGAGGTACAGTAATCAAATTAAATCCAAGGGAAGAAGAGCTCCAATTTCTTGGACCAAGAACCCTTCACCAGCATCAAGGCATTCTCCATTGAAGAGTCAAAAGCTGTGGAATTAAATTACTTTTCAAGCATAGGAAGTTAAAAGATTTGTGGCTCAGAGCTCCAAGAGTCACAAAGGAATGTAGCTGGAAAAAATACGAAGGTTAACTGAAATTGAATGACAGCACACTGTAAATTATTTTTATAAAAACAATGCTTAAAAATCCATAGCTTACACATGACTAAAATAAAAGAAAAACTAACCACGTCTTCATCGGTGAGATCTAAAGTCTCCCATCTAAAGCCATCTGGTAGGTTATAAGGCTCTTGCTTGATCTCAGATACAGGTTTCTCTTCTTCAATAGCTTCATTAACATCTTCCCCTATATCTTCACCTAAAACAAAGTTTTATTCATCAAATTATAATTAAATGCTGAAGGTTATGTCATAAATATCACACCCAGAGCAACATGGAAACTTTTACCATTAAGACCTACTGCCTTGCCATTAAGACTGGCAGCTTATTAAATGATCAGCTGTTTTCATGAAGAAGAACTGAAAGAAAAAACTAGATCCACTAAAATAATTGTGTATAACATACAAATAAAGGATTGAGAATATCAGGGTTTAACTTCAATTTTATAAACAATTTGACATTATTAGGAATGCTTCAAAAATAATTTGACAACAAACTCCAGGGTGGAAATAAAAGTGTACTGCCAACAGTAATGAAGAAAAAACATGAGCAGAGCACTGTAACAATGCTTCTGCTCTACACACAGTGAAACATTGTCTCAATAAAAGCTTGCTCTGCACTTGTGTCTTTTCTTCATCTGTCTAAACTCTATAGTGCCATGGCTTACTCCATGTCCTGTAATGTACATATTTCCTCCTATAAACATTCAGAAATCCTAGGTCTCATTCTGATCATTGTCTGATCACTGGCTGGAAAGGAACCTGGTATTAAAGAGGAAAATGCTAGTGGAAAAAAAAGAAGATTAAAGACATTCAGGGAGGAGGCCTGGCCTTCCACGCTGCAACATCCCAGGAAACTAACAGCAGTGCACTAGAAAATTCAACAGGTAAAAGTGTCACAGTGTCAGTAAAAGCTGGAAGATGATCTATAAGGGAAGCCAAATATACAGACCCTTTATACTCCACATTTTACTTTCTTCTCCATGTAAGAGTTACCTGTTCAAGGTGTGTGACATTTACAACATGTCCTTTTATTTTGAAACCTTTTCTGTTATACACATCATATGGCAAGTAATTACGATGCCTGTGAGGGAAATAATATTAACCCCAACAGCCAACTGAGATTAACTTAACCAAAGAAGTAAAGAAACTACTAGTAGATATTGACAAAAAGCAATAGGAACAGAAAGCATCTCCCTGGGTCTTAAGTGAATGTGCAGAAGAGCTTAGCTGTCTATTTTCAGGAAAATTTTTAAAATTTCATTACAAGCTACACTGGCAGGGAAATAAAAGCAGAAAAAGAACAGGTGCATTCCACTGCTTCTCAACAACTTGCAACTACTGAGAAGCAGCAAGAGCAATAATGCAAGTTATCGATATTCCAAATAAATTCAAAATAAAATTACTCTACAATTTAGTGTACAATTCTATAATACATCTACATTCCCAAGAATTTTATCCTATACAATGCTTAAATCACTGAAAACACCTGCACTAATATAGTTGGAATAAATGCAGCAGTGTGAATTTTATGCCCATGCTTGGTAAAGCCACACTACTTGACCTTTTATTTTTTAGGTTGCCCTAGGATAATAATCAGCAGAAAATAGTTTTACGGTATAATCTCGTTTGTCGAATGCTTATCAAACAAACCAGTTTTTGAATGAGGAGTTAAAAAAAAAAAAGTCCTGGTTTTCGTACATGCTCTTGGTTGTCGATGGACGTGAATGGGACAAAGCGGCTTGCCCGATAATGAGTTGACGGCGTGGCTCTCAGCCAGTGTAGCCCCTAACTCACGTGCTGTAAATATCTCAAGCTTCTGTTGTGCATCTTGTGGACCTTTTTTGTTATTTTGCAGTTTTGGTGCAGTTTTTTTTTATTGTACATAGTAATACAACAACAGCAGGAAATGGAATCAGTCACTGAAATCATTACTGAATAATGTCTATGTGTGTAGGCAAGAAGGCAGAGAATACAAAGAAAAAGACTGTAAATACCTAGACTTTCCAGTTAAGTTTGAAAAAATTAATACCGTAATATATGACAATAATTTAAGTTTGAAAAAGTATATAAATATCTACTTTAACCTTTTCAGTGTCAGTCCCCATTATATGATGGCTTTAAAGCCAGTGTTGATCCCGTAGTATGATGCCATAAGCTCAGCTCACTCAGATAAGCTGTGAGTGGTAAATTGGGGGCTAGATATGAGAGACTGGGTCTATGCATTAAGTGTGCACCAGATAAAAAAAATCCTGCAACACGCAGTGAATGAGAAAAAAACAGCAACCGTGTTTTTGGTTTAAAACTGCTACTCTGCAGTGTATTTTCGTATGGCTTTTATGGTTTTATTCTCAGTTTCTTTGTCTCATTTGATAGAATGGAAGATACATTACAGAAATAGGATGATTCTGATTAGTTTCAGGACTGAAAGTAGGTTGAAAATTAAATCAAAATAGCCGAAATGTTCGATTTTTGCTGATATTCCAGAGTACGTAAATGACGTCGCTTCTTCAATAAGCGTCCAACTGGCCAGTGTAATAAGCTTTCATGAATGGGTTGACATTATTTATACAGTTATTACAATAATGCAGTAGTCTCCATAAAGGTAAATCTCCTATTTTTTGTGACTAAAATTTCAAAATGGAAAGCAAGAGTAATATAAGAGGGGCCTGGAGACATGACTAAGGAACAGAAGAAATGCTTTTTTAGTGCCAGGAATGTTTATCATGTTTATTCTGGACTCTATTTTTAAATTGGCAATTGTGAATTTTGTGTGAAGTTGGCCAAATTACCAATTTCTGTTTGCTTTACTGGGTAGTTGAAATAGGTATATGTGCAGTTTCTTGTACTCAATCAAGAGAATAGAGGGAATACTAGTGAAATAGCTATGAGTTTGGTTGACTGGAACAATGGAATTGGCCAAAAGTAGGGCACAAAAGGGGCGAAACTGTTGACGCGTAAGTATTGGTGAGCTAGATTATTATTATAATCAAGGGGGAAGCACTAAACCCATAGGATTATACAGCGCCTATGGGGGGATGGAAGGCATTCAGGCTTAATTCAGGGAACTGGAGCACAGATCCAATTCCCTAGATCAAGAGCCCCTCACCAGCATCAAGGAGCCTTCCTTGAGGGGTGGTGAGCTAGAACAATGTGCTAGTGGTGAAAAGAGAGAGAGAAACAATACCAGAAGGATAGTTGCCTGGCACATTATTAGACGGTAACTCTCCATCCAAGCAGTAACATCCCCCCTCCTCTCCTTCACCTCCTGCTTCCAGTATGCCCTTAGCTCTCCTCTGACAGGTAAGAGGCAGTTAAATTTTCATTTACTGTACAGTATTTCAGTAAAAATTTCTCTTAATATATATTTTTACAGTTTTATATAGTAGCTAGTACCTTTTTAATAAATTATTATATTGTCATTTGGGGTCTGGAATGGATTAATTCTATTTATATTATTCTCTAGGGAAAAACTGCTTTGGTTGTCATTTGATTTGGTTGCTGAATCAACAACTGGAACGAATTAAATTCGACAACCGAGGTTCCACTGTATACCCATTTTTACCAAGTGCCAGATCAACCAGGCTGTGATGTATAAGGGAACCAGTGGGTCACCTGGTTGAAGAGGCAAGCAACAGAAAAGCCTGGCCCCTGACAGGGCTGCAAGGACAAAAAAAAAAACCTCAAAGCTGGTATCACAGGTACATTATATCTAAGATACATTGTAATAAAACATTCCCATGCCTTCTATGGTAATGACTACTCAAAATGTAATTCAACAATTGCTGTGCATGCTGACAACTGACGATAACAACAGAGAGCAAGAAAGTATGTAGGTCATACAGATGTATGGTGGTGAGGGTGATATGGAAACTGCTGATGACACCACTGGAGTTTTGTTAATTGCTAAATACAGAATTATTCCTTGCCTCAATGCTCAACTTTATAATGAGTACACAATTCTCACAAATCCTGCTATTTTATATAATGCTCAAGTTGTACAGAACACATATTAAAGGTAGGAGGAGGAAATTCAGGTTACACTTCATGCTATACTTAACATCCTTCACACAGTGGAAAGGATTATACATTATGTTGTAATAACACAATTCTATCCCTTCTGTGTTGATGCTATATTTACAACTACAACAAGTGAAAGTACAGCAGAGCTCCCAAATTCATGTGATTAAGTTCCTTCAGATTTCCAAACTTATATACCATTATTTCTGTCCATTTAACCCTTTGAGGGTTTCGGCCGTACTAGTACGGCTTACGACCTAGGGTTTTTGACATACTAGTACGCCTAAATTCTAGCGCCCTCAAATCTAGTGGGAGAAAGCTGGTAGGCCTACATATGAAAGAATGGGTCTATGTGGTCAGTGTGCACAGTATAAAAAAAAATCCTGCAGCACACAGTGCATAATGAGAAAAAAAAACTGACCATTTTTTTGGAATAAAACAGTGACTTTGCACTGTATTTTCATATGGTATTTATTGTTGTATTCTAGTTTTCTTGGTCTCATTTTATAGAATGGAAGACGTATTACAGAAATTGAGATGATTTTGACTGGTTTTACAATTAAAAGTACCTTGAAATTGAGCTCAAAGTAGCAGAAATGTTCGATTTTTACAGAAGTTCAAAAGTAAACAAATCATGCCAAGCGTCCAATACACGTCAACTGGTGAGTCTTATTCTTTCGCAAGTGCGCCAATATTATTTATACCATTTTTTACACAAATGCAGTAGTCTGCATAACAGTAAATCTTCTATTTTTTGTGAGAATAAAAATTCAAAGTGGAAAGCAAAAGAATATGAGGGGCCTTGAGACGTGACTAATGAACAGAGGACATGTCATTTTAGTGCCAGGAATGTCTTTCTTGTTTATTCTGGGCCCTATTCGGAAATTGGCATCTTTTGAAATTTGTTTGAAATTGGCAAAATTGCTAAATTCTGACCACTGTACTGGATAGTTGAAATTGATAAATGGGTGGTTTCTTGCACTCATTCGATAGACAAAATGGAGTTCTAGCGAAATATTCATGTTTTTTGTCGACTAGTACAGTGGAATTGGCTGAAAATGGGACTCAAAGTGGGCAAAATCGCCAATGCGTAAACATCGTCGAGACCGCTAACTTCGCGAGAGCATAATTCCGTAAGTTTTCCATCAAATTTCAAACTTTTGGTGTCATTATGATCGGGAAAAGATTCTCTATCTCTTCATAAGAGAAAATTATTTTTTTTTTTTTTAAATTTGGCCGACCCTGAGAACGAGTCTCGGAGAGGGCCTGTCGACCCTCAAAGAGTTATGTCTTTTGTCAGGTTCATTTTGTTTCAAAAGCTACATCTCTTTAAATACAGCTCTACTGACAGTTAAAAGAAATACAGTGGACCCTTGAGTTTAGAGCTTATTTCGTTCCAGATGGCTTTTCAAGTGCTGTTACCAAACGAATTTCTTCTCATCAGGAATAATGTAAATTAGATTAATCTGTTTCAGACCCTCAAAAACACACTTACAAAAGCACTTACAAAAATACACTAACATAAATGGTCGAGTTGGAAGCAGTTCTAAACTCGAGGGCTCACTGTAATTTCCTAAAAGATTTGGGCATAAGAAATCCAAAAAAACTATCAAAACACCATTAAAACTCAAGACAACATCAAAACACATTGCATCAAATGTGCATCCCGTTCTTAAGTATGAAATACCCATGGAGTCCTCATTTAATAAAACGTGCAAAAGTGAGAAATTCCAAAAAAACAGTGGAGATGTGTAGTGCAGATATTATGCAGAGAATTTGGAGCACTGAGATTAGAAGATAGCATAGTTACCAAAAGTATAATTCAGAGGACTGAAGAGGGATGATTGAGATGGTTTGGGCATTAAGAGAGGACAGATTAAAATAGGGTGACTAACAGGGTACATATACATAAATCTGGGGTGAAGGATCGGTAGGGCTCATCCTAGGAAGGGTCAGAGGAAGTGAATAAAGGTGGTTTTGAGTGCTAGGGGCTGGAACCTCCAACAGGCTTATGTGAGTATGTTAGATGGCTTGATATGTTGTTGTGGTGGAAGCAAAGAAACATTTATTAAGGGATTCAGGGAAACCTGAGAGCTGGACTTGAGTTCTGGAGGTGGGAAGTACAGTGCCTGTAATCTAAAGGAAGGGAGAGAATGTAGTAGCTTGGAGGGTCATCTGAACTGTGTCGATAGTACACTTCTGGCAAGACAGAGGTTGAATGAATGACAGTGAACGTGTTTCCTCGTTTTTTGGGTCATCCAACCTCAATGAAAGATACAACACAAGACATTATATACCTACCTTACATTATTAAACCTAATGAACATATTTATCATGTACACTATATAATGCACAATAAATATACTACACAATGAGAAGTACTTCAGACTGCAATACTAAATCTAATGAATACATGTATATTTATCAATGAGTAAAGAACACCAACATAAAAGTGAACGACTTTTTATAGATACAGGACAAACACATAACCCCCTAGTAGATATAAACAATACTGAGGTAATATTAAACCAAATATTGAATATCTGGTAGGTAGAAAAACATGAACATAGTAACAAATTTGTACTAACAAAAATTATATTATTAGTATGATGACAATGGGGAACAACAGTGGTGAAGAGTGTAACCTCACATAGAGTTTAGACAATGTTTTATAAGTTGCATTTGGAATTTAAAGTTACACAGCATTTGATTCTTCTAGTAAACCATCCTGGATTTTGAGCCCATTTATTTACCTAGTTAATAAATGAACTAATCAATCATTTATGGATATTTTTTTAGCTCATTTATTGTGATAGTATCCAGACATGAAAAGACAAAGGTAGTGTCATCAGCAAAAGTACTGACTGAGTTGTGAGGTCAAATTTAGTAGGTCACTAATATAAAGAAGAAACAGGAGAATGCTCAGCATTAATACTGCCCTGAGGAACACCAATATTTACTGATAGATGAGATGCAGTAGTGTCATCATGTTTATTTGAAGCCTGTTACTTAAGTAGGATTTAATCTAGTAGAAGTGATCCCCAAGTTCATAATGCTTCAGTGATACACATCAAAATAGCATGGCTTGTGGCAACATTGACAATGCCTTTTTACAAGTAACTGCTGGTACAGTATTTCATATTAACTGCTTCAGGAGGCAGTCACTCTCAAATACTGTATGTCTGGGTGATTTTATTATGGAGTTTATCTCTGAGGCAGTGACTGGTGATCTGAATAATTAGGATGGTTGCCAATTAGAAAGTTATCAATACTGATTTGGGCTTCAGGGATATCACTCACAAGCTTAGTTCAGATTGAAGGAAAGAAGCAATATCAGCAGCTGAGAGGGTCTGAATTATCTATGGAGGCTTTTTTTTTTTGTTCCTGTAATTTGAGAATTACCAAGTAGTGTACTTTCCATGCTGCCTGAGGTGTTGTTTAATCTATTGATAGTAAACCTGTTTGGATTTTCTAATTAGACTAATGTCCCAGACTACAAAATGTCACATTTTTATCCACAGATCCTAGGTGAGTCACAGCTATGGTCAAGTCTGCTTATACATGCTGCCCCTGTTCACCTAACAGTAAATAGGTACCTGGATGGTGTCCAATTGTTGTGATTTGTATCCTATAGGAAAGGTGAAAGTCTTAGGGAAGGGCTTTGTGAAACATGCTTTGGATAACAACTCTCAGCCTGTATTATTACTATTATATTTAACCCTTTAACTATGGGAAGATTTAGAAAAATAAAAATATTTTCTCTTACTGTTTAGATAAAAATTTGTCTTTCTGAATCAAATAAGACTAAAATTAGCAAAATCTGATAAAAACTTACGATTTTATGGTATGTTTAATTTGCTGAAAAAATTATCAATAATCGTCAACAGCAGCGAGTACTTATATATCAGACACAGTTAGAGGGTTAAGGGAAATACTACACACACAAAGGTCACACAGCAGCAAGGTAAACAGGAGGCAATTAAGTTCTATCCTAAGAAAGACAGGTCCAATTCCTAGGATTGATCCCCTCCTTTAACAGTGTCAAAAAACTTTCCCTGAGGGGTCTTAGCCTAGAGTGAACTACACAAAAAAAATCTAAAACACAAGAATGAATGGGTCACAGTACTCACTTATTTTAGGGACAGGCTGTGTGTTCCAGAACTGAAACTCCCGCTGATTCTGTAGCTGCATCTTCCGCATGTATCTCTCTACTTCAGGCATCAATGGTGGGACCTGAGTTCCTACACCAACCCCACTAACCTGAGAAGTGCAAAATTGTGTTAGTATCACCTAAAGTTGAGCCCCTTTATAAACTTTCATAAATTTTGAACCTTTTTTTGTTTCATATTTATGTCCAATCTGTGACCAACTTGAGTGCTGTATTAACATAACTAGCCCACTCATCTTGCAAAAAAAAAATGGGGTTTTATCTTCTATTTCTTACTTAAGAAAATACTGTACAAAAAAAATCTTATGCAAATATGTATACTTAATACATAGCATACTTTTATAATATTTTTATTATTATTATCACACTGGCAGATTCCCACGAAGGCAGGGTGGCCCGAAAAAGAAAAACTTTCACCATCATTCACTCCATCACTGTCTTGCCAGAAGGGTGCTTTACACTACAGTTTTTAAACTGCAACATTAACACCCCTCCTTCAGAATGCAGGCACTGTACTTCCCATCTCCAGGACTCAAGTCCGGCCTGCCAGTTTCCCTGAACCCCTTCATAAATGTTACTTTGCTCACACTCCAACAGCACGTCAAGTATTAAAAACCATTTGTCTCCATTCACTCCTATCAAACACGCTCATGCATGCCTGCTGGAAGTCCAAGCCCCTCGCATACAAAACCTTCTTTACCCCCTCCCTCCAACCTTTCCTAGGACGACCCCTACCCCGCCTTCCTTCCACTACAGACTGATACACTCTTGAAGTCATTCTGTTTCGCTCCATTCTCTCTACATGTCTGAACCACCTCAACAACCCTTCCTCAGCCCTCTAGACAACAGTTCTGGTAATCCTGCACCTCCTCTTAACTTCTAAACTACGAATTCTCTGCATTATATTCACACCACACATTGCCCTCAGACATGACATCTCCACTGCCTCCAGCCTTCTCCTCACTGCAACATTCATCACCCATGCTTCACACCCATATAAGAGCGTTGGTAAAACTATACTCTCATACATTCCCCTCTTTGCCTCCAAGGACAAAGTTCTTTGTCTCCACAGACTCCTAAGTGCATCACTCACCCTTTTCCCCTCATCAATTCTATGATTCACCTCATCTTTCATAGACCCATCCGCTGACATGTCCACTCCCAAATATCTGAATACATTCACTTCCTCCATACTCTCTCCCTCCAATCTGATATCCAATCTTTCATCACCTAATCTTTTTATCCTCATAACCTTACTCTTTCCTGTATTCACTTTTAATTTTCTTCTTTTATAATATAATCACAATTTCCTGCAATAAAACAATTAATGGATTGCTGTCAGCAACCTATTACTGAATAAAAAATTTCTTTCTTTTTTGAAACGACACTAGAATTCAATAAGCGGCTAACTCAGTGTGGCGAGTTCTGGGTATTTTGAATGATTATAGTCACTCAGTCAAGGAAGGCTGCTGAGAGTGGCTCTCAGTGTACATATTGCCTGTGTCTGGACAAAATATACCACTATGGGATCAAATTTAATTCTCTTTCCACAGGCATTTATGATCCACAGGGGTTTAGTGTTTAAGGGTATATAACAACAAATCTTAATCAACACTCTTGCCATTCTCTGATATATCCACCCATTCTCCAGCACAAGTTGTACACTAATATCTAGTCAATGCGTACAAAATAAAGTTCCCTCCCACTTCATAAATTTATTTTCTTCCAACATGGCATATGTTTTTATATCCTAACTTTTTCAAGAACACTGAGACTAACAAACCACAGAAAGAATGGTGTCTGAACCCATGGCAGGCAAGTCCTAAAAAAAACTCACAGGCCAAAGTGTTAACCAGTCAGCCAGCTGGTCAAGTGGTTAACACACTGACCTGTGAGATTTAGGGGACTCACTTGTCATGGGTTCAAACCCCACCCATTCCCTGACTTGTTCGCAATTGTGTTACTACGATTTCCTGAGTCTTGAGACTAACCTTGGTAAGCCCACTGGTACTGGGCTCTGCTTCCCCATTCACCACAGGTGCTTCATTAACCATAGGTGCCTCAGTCACTTCCTTAGATTCTTTGGATTTCATTTTCTTGTTTTTCTTCCTGTGGGGAAACATTTAAAAGCTAAAACTCAGCAAGTTAAAACATAGGTCAACATAGACAACCTCAAATCAAGGGTGATGGACTGATTACATCGTCTTCACATCTCTACTGCTCCTGCCTACTTTCTGTACTCAACTGAAGGAGCCTACTGCATAGGCGTAAAGTTTTAGAATAAAGTTGCCTAACTGTTGCCTATTTGTCTTACCTACCAACCTGTCGGTACTGTATACAATTTTGATATGCATTCTGTCAGACACTGCAACACAATGGCATCTTGATACAGAAGAGAAAACACCTTGGACAACTTTTCATGTGAGAATGGTTGGATTTGAGAGGGACGTGACCTCTCAGCAATTACATTCTTTCTTCTACAACTCTGCACCTCTCCTTCTGACAGTATATAAGTCTCCACATTTTATTCAGTACCGTAATCTGATCAGTAATGTTAGCTCTGTACCTACAAACAGGTAACCACATCTTGGCATGCTGCAAAATATGAAATGCTATGAATAAATAAGGTAAAATCAAATAAATTAATATAAAAAATAAATTAATAATAATCAGTAATTAATAATAATAATTTCGAAATTAATAAAAATTAGTAAAAATAATTAATGGTATAGGTAGTAGGTTAGAGCTACCCCCAGAGAGGTACTGTAAATAGTATAGAACCCCCATATCTACTGATTCGGTATCTGTGGTTTCAGTTATCCAAGGTTTACTGTGGCCTAAAAATACCTCTTAATTTTGCATAATAATGTCCCTAAAGTGCAAAAGTAGAGAAGCTGGCAGTTCTTCAAAGCCTAAGAAAATCCATGCAGTGCTTCCCATCAGTGAAAATGTGATAATTCTCCACTTAATTTGCATAATTTATCATATACGTACGTGTAATAGGATTTACAAAACTTATATATGGGGTTTGCTACTATCCACGGTTTTGGTATCCACGGCAAGTCCTTGGAACGTATCCTCTGCAGATACGGAGGTTCTACTGTACTACACCATCCTTCCACAGGAGTGTGAAACAGAAACCTCTTACATAATTGCTTTACAATGGCAGTAATGTAGGTCTCTCTTCCTTCTCCCTCTCTACTAAAACCCAGAGTACAGAACACATGTAATCGTGCATGTTTAAGTCTAATTTCTTAATAGTTTTTGCTCTTGTAATGTTTTCTTTTATTCCATCGGAAAGTAGACTA